GACCGTTCACGGTCCTAACCGGCCCACATGCCACCCTTAATCTTAGCTAAATGTCAATCCACGTGGGATGATGGTGGCCATGGTGGAGGGTCCTAATGGAGGAGGGGTATTTTTGTACCACTTTTGTAACATTAGGGGTAAGGGTGGACCAAAATTATAACGGAGGGTATAAATAATCATTTTCGCATAGTATAGGGGTATTTTTGACCCTTTTCCCTTTTTTTAAAGCCAAAAAGTCGACATTTTGAGAAAAAATTCACAAGAAGACAACCTACGTTAATCAGAAATTTCAGAAATCAGCTCACCGTTTTTAAGGATTCATCCTTTGACTATATACAAACCTAAAGAATTGTGTTGAAATCATCAAGATGGTAGAGCTCAAATTTCTTGGTATGGATTTTGGTTGTGTAATGGGATCCCTTAGCAAAGGTGAATTCCCAGAAAAAAATTGTTTGTTTCCCTTAATATCCAAGCTCCTGGGCTACGTCATTGTTGCTGCCTCCACCACTGTTAAACTTCCTCAGGTATTTTCCTTAAAAATCCAGTCTTTTTTTTTCACATTTTATCGTGTCCTACTTTAGAGACTTACAATTTTATGATATTTAATTTCCACCCACGTTAAGTTGTCTATATCTTGAACCTCATCTAGCTTAACAGCTGATACATAGTCATCACTGTCCCATTTTTATGCAAGGTATTCATGTGGGCACGGAGTTTATGATGTTAATTTGACTTGGATATATTGAAGGAAAATATTAAGGTGATAATTGAAAAGTAATCAGATAAAGAAAAATCAAGAAATCTGAATATTTGAATGAATTTGAATTATTAAAAGTTGTAAAAGCGGTATGTGTCAAATGTAAGACATACAAAATGGAAAGGGTGCCATATAAATTAGGATAGGGGAAGTAATATTTATATATGTTTAGGTTAAAGATTATGTAGGTGGGTCGTCCGGTGCTGCTTCTGTGATCTTCTTGTACATTTCAGGTGAAAGACAACGAAATTTTTGGGATCCTGTTTTTCCCAAATTTAGGAACTACAAAGATTCAACATAGGGTTATGGGTTGGTAAGCTAAGTTGTTTAGGCTGTCATTACTTTCTTAATTTGCACGTCTACTGGCTATAGCGATTCACAGATTGGACTAAGTGTATCACATATCCCATCTCTTCCTCTTGCAGATATTAAAAATTTTACAGCACAAAAGTGTTAGAGGGCTTAGTGTTGTGAGCTTCGAGCTAGAAGTAACTGGTTATACCATTGCTTTAGCATATTGCCTTCACAAAGGACTTCCATTTTCAGCTTTTGGAGAGTATGTTTTTCTTTTGATTCAAGGTATGTTCAACATATGCATCTTGCTTTCGGAATTCATTTAATATTCTATTCTGATATGTTGAGAAAGCGTTGGGATGCAGCTTCTCAAATTTGCATTGGAGTTCTACTGGTTTGAGTGCAGAATTGTTTGGTTGTGGTTGTTTTAGCTAACCATGCATCTGTTTCTATTCTTCCTTTTCATTGACCAACCAATTCAACTGGTTTGGGTGCAGAAGTGTTGTGGTTGTTTTAGCTAACCATGCATCTTTTTCACTGGTTCTTCTTCATTGAACAACCAATTCAATTCCTTTAAGCAGTTCTGGACAAGCCAAATGGCTGATGATCCGAGACAGCAGCTGGACATTTGTTTTCCGAGATTGGAATAAAAGATGCTTGTAGTTGCATGGTTTTTGTTAAGCAACAGCAACTCTAGGCCTCAGTCCCAAACAAGTTGGGGTCACCTATTGCGTCATTTAAGCTCAACCCATGTCATCATCATACCATGGTTTTTCTTAAGTGTTTGAACAAATATCTAGATTGTACCTATTTACCTTTTTTGAGTTCATGGCAAATGCTATGATATGGTAGTTTGGTTATTCACTCCTTTGTCGATAGAGTAAATCACCTTCATTTCATTGCACTTCAATATCTCAATTTCTTAGTTTCGTATGTTTTCTTAAATTGTGTAACGTGTCTCATCTATAATTTCAAATTGTTAGTGAAATATACTTTAATTTTGCAAAGCACCCCTCATTTGCGGGTTTGATTCTTTTTGTTGAGTCAAGTATGTGGAAATATTTTGCTGATGGGCTCAAACCATGTTGAATTGGTGATGTTGAAGGAGATACTTTTATTTATTTATTTTAGGTCTGCAAGGCTGCAAGATCATCTTGTGCTTTTTTACTTGTTGCAGCTATCATATTGGTTGCGATCATCTATTATTTTTCTCTGCCTTTGGGAACAAAGACATGGATTAGAGCATTACTGTATCCTACCTCCTCCACCTTTGAATTCGTAAAAAGTGTTCCGTATCAATTAGCCATTTAGACTACTCTTTTTTGTTAATTTTAGGTGCTCCTTCGGATGGAATTAGAATCTGTTGTTCCTCCTATTTAAATAAACAGATATTGTGCTGTCGCTCCAACTCTTTTGGCAGGTCAAATTGATCCAATCCTTTTTGAGGCCTTATATGTAAGTGGTGACTTATAATTCCTGTCTGTAAAATATTTTTGCTCATCTACCCTCAATTAGTAATTTTTTGTTTTGGTAGACTACAATGCTCGAAAGATATAGATTCCTCTTTCATAAGTGGATTCCATAGAAAGAGTATACCACGGCTCATTCTTGTCTTGGAATAATTTTTTGCAGGCCTCTCAGCATGCAATTTTTCTTTTTTCAAGGATTCCACAGATCTGGAAGAATTTTACGGTACTTATTCGTGTGATGATGGTTCTCATTTTAATATTGCTGTGATGTTGAGAGCGGAGATAACAGATGGTACTTTTGCAGATTTGACTTGACATATGGAGTGTTGCCTGATTTCTAATAATGTGATGCTGTTTTACCTATAAACTTTTTGCTTTTGGTAGCATTAAACTTTTAGCTTATGGTTTGACGACTTGTCATTGTGTATGTAACATGTCAACTCTTTTGGTATCTTAATTATCTGAAACTTGATCCGTACTGAAACATGCTGTGTTTAATGGGTATCTGCTGTAACATGCAGTTTCCTTGCTATGCACTATATTGCTTGAATGTTTTCTACTCTGTCAATGGAAATCATGCCAAATGTGATGGAATTGTAATGAGAGGGAGGGAGCTCTTATGTGAATGCTTTTAAAGTAGATGATGAATGAGTGAGATAAAATCAGAGACCGTCCATGCAAGTACACATGAAGTTTCGTACCTGATTGAATTCTTACATTTATTTATTTATTTATTTATCCAATAATGTTTACAAGAATCACTGCATGTGCAGTTACATTTTTGCTACATTCATTCTTTTCTGACAGCTACTTAATGTAATTATTCTTTTTTATCATTAATGTTGTTTGAGCAGAACAGAAGTACTGGGGAGCTAAGCTTCTTAACCTTTTTTATGAACTTTGGTGGTTCCATGGGTAAGTTGACCATTGAACTTCTGGTTGCACTTACGAAATATTGAAGTTCTCACCCGCTCTTTTCCTCTCTATGTTGCAGTTAGAGTGTTTACCAGCCTCCAAGAGAAAGCTCCAATGAGTGGTATGCTCTGATTTTCTTTGATCTAAGCCTCCATATAATTCTGCAAAGTGCTCTCTGGATATGGAACCATTGTGGCGTAGTGTATTTCCAAACAATAAGCTGATGCATTCTTATTTTGCAATATAATCTAAGTTTTTAGATGTGCATAACAATGATTTATACACTTGATGGTTCTGCTGTATTATCATCATTGCTAATTACTATCTTCACTAGTCTCTTTCTGCTACAGTAGAATGTGAGGTCGGCTCAGTTTGTCCTAATCAAGTGTTCTTAAGATGTTTTAGGGGGAAAAAAAAGGAAAATTTAATTGAAAACACTAGATGCTTGTGCTGAATGTCCTTTAGATCAATATTGCTCATGCTTTATTCCTTTCTGTAGTTATGGTTTTTGGAGGTGCAGGTGGAGAAGAACTAAATCTTTTTGTGACCTACACGGTTGTTTAATAGCATTAATTTGAAAGTATACATGCAACTTTGGGAATTAAAAATGGAGTGAACAAATTACTTGAATGTGGTGTAAAGAATAACCTTTAATAGTTCAGGTAGTTGAAAATACTAAGAAAATTCAAAATACTAAAAAAGGAATTTTCTTAGTTGATACGAGCTGATGTGAAAGATTTTGGACATACATAGTTGAGGAGACGTGTCCATTTGCTAGCTGAATCCTTACGCAGTTCAAATATACTTGAACTGATCTCTTCACTTCTAAGATTTCTGAAATGCTATTCTTTTGTAAGAAGGAATTTCTCTTCACATCCTATCATTGTATGATCTTTGTAATTTGATCAATCAATCGGGGACATATGATAAAATTGTAATTTGATCAATTCTGCATTTTTAACTCCCCGAGTTTGATTTTGTTTGCAGTTGTCATGGGATCTGTGATTGGTATACTGATGAATGGTACCATCTTGAGTCAAATTCTCTTGTATCCAGCACCAGCACCTAAGAAAGGGAAGAAGACAGATTAGAAGTTTCAGCTTGGTATGCTGGCAATGGCTTTGCTACTTCTTTCTCCTGCACCATGAAGCTCAATGCAGTGATACTCGAGCATGAATACTGTCGTTCATTTGCCCATGTCATCCACTAAAGTATCTGACATAGATTTGCCTAGTTCAAAATCTAGGGTGTTTCATAAATTTACTTCAACACTAGTCCTCTTGAATTTTTAGTTGTCATCGATACACGAGTCATGAATAGAGTAGTTCATTTATACATGTGATTCCCCTGAGAAGCTGTCGTAGATTTACTTAGTTCAAAATATAGGATCTATGTCCAAGTTAAACTTCAAGATTAGTCTTCTTGAATGTTTGAATTGTTACATGAAAATACAACAACACTTTGGTATGAACATTTCTTCTTCTTTTTTTTTCCGATTACATATAGCGCATACAGATTGCCTTCGGTAAAGATCAGCTCTGTAACAACATTTCATTGACCTCTTCACAGTTACAGATTCAACTTTCAAGCTTCAAACACATGAGTTAGAATGTTTCTAACAGTGTCCAGAATATCATCCTCGTTGCACGAAGTTACAAACTTAACCCATAGAAGAATGGGGAATTCAGTCTTCTGTACTGGAACTGTGATCAAATATGCAGCAACCATTATAGACGCGGCGAGATGACGGGGAGAAGTATTAAAAGATGAAATCTCCCCCTTTTCATAGAGTAAGTCCATAATATCCATACAAGCTTCAAGTTTTAATTGCTCTCCAACTCTAGCAACTTCCTTCAATTTGGTAATTAGATCTTCTAAGAATCTGAAGGCAATGCTTCTTAACATACCAATCTCAAATTTCAATACCTGCATTAACACTAACTCAGCTTCTAGAAAATCCTTTGTTGTAAAATGCTGCTCTGTAATGGTGTTGTCGGATAAAGACTTGAAACATTTGACGTGAAGTGGAGGAGAATCGTGTATTTTGGTTGAGATCCATAGTGCTGCGAGAGCAAATAGCTGCAAATTGCTTTCTCTCAGAGGCAGCTGTAAGAGCCAGGTTTTAGCAGCATCGTTAATTCCTTTTCTGGAAATTAGAGATGGGTAGAATCGATCGGCGAAAAGTGAAAGTGCCGAGTATTTGACGATGGGTGAAACTTGAAGCTCCTGTCCTGATTGAATCAGGAACTCTACCGCTCGACCTCGCAAACAAGTACAAACCTCCTTCATTCGAAACCTATTTGACGAAACGCCTAAAAGAACCAAATGCTGAAGAAGAAACTCATTTACCTAATTTAACCATCAATCGGTTTGAAATCATAAAGGAAATATGAGTATGATTATCAATTTCTGTAACACAATTATTGTTCTAAACTTGAAACGACATCCAAAATCCCGCCAAATACTGCATCAGAAGATGAACGGATAAGAGATTGCTAAACTAATCAGCGGATCGGAAATCCAAATTCAAATATGCAGCTCATAGTTCCTTTCCGGTCGCAGGTGTTCATTAGACTAGTCACATCGTCATATAAATATATACCAATATTTACCGGCATCTTTACACAAATAGTGGGCTGGATTCACTATTTACTTTACTTAGCCGGTATATATGATGATACACATATTATACATGGATTATACATCTGCCAACTATTTTTAGTTTAAGTAGTTGAGTGGGCGACTATTTAAGTTAATTCTTATCATCCCTCTTCAAGCGTAACACAATTTAGAGATTGAAATGTAGGTTGATTTCGTGGGTGATAATTCAATTTTTACTTTATCCCCTCAATGCTTTCAAAGATCAAGCTCAATATTATGAGATGAAAAGATGCTGAATTCCTGAGAGTGTTCTTTATTGGCTAGGCTAGTCATTTTTATCAGTATCTTGCTTCTTTATGGTCTAGAATAGTCACTAATTACTTTTAGCTCGTAGAATCTCAAATCCCAGGAATTGGATTCATCTTGATTACCCGCCGAAAAATAACATTTTAAGCAAGCTTAACAGAGTGGCTTTTTGAACACAGCTCTTGTATATTACGGAAAAATTGGCTTGTTCTAGTATTCGTGCTAATTTGCGTACGCCTCAACTATTCAACTAAGTACCTTCTACTTACTATCAACACATGTATGGGGTGACTCTGCCATCTAAAGCTAAGATAGATAAAAAGAAATCGCTTAACATTTTGTCTCGATCAATACGTGAACCTTGGTCTCCCATGATTTTCATCCACTTTATTGACCAAAGGATCGCAAGGGTGCATGGGCTAGAGCGAACATTCTTAAGGATCAGCAAACCAAACTGTAGCGCACTTGGTTCAGACTCCAACTAAACCCATAAGCTTCTGACGTTATATTTAAGATCAACACACTATGGATGCAGCTTAAAGCAAAATATTGTCAACAGATTCAATAATAATCTACTTGAAAATTGATTGACAATATACAATGGATAAGGAAGAGTTTGATGAACAAAGCAAAGGTACGAAATATCAACAAACAAGAACAAT